TTGCAAGATTTTTTTCGCCCGCCCGCCAAACGCAAAGCGAATATCCCGCGGGCTTCGCAAATAAAGAAATTACAATTATTAATTTGATATATAAATCTGATATAGGTACTGCCCATAAGTAATCGTCGAGTTTCGCACTTTTTCATATGCAGATGAGCGAAATGTTTTTCACTATTTCCGCCACGAGTTTGACGGGCGAATAAGTGCTGATCTTTGCCGAATTTCGGGTTTTTTATACATTTTACCATGACATCGGATTAAGTAGCAGGGCATTTTTATATTGGATTTTACTATTAATTCGTTTTTACATTTATTCGGCCAACCCGAAATTTATAGATATTTTTTTTGAAAATTCCATCTGACATGTATTTTAAATGTGGAAACTCGGTAAAAATTTCAATTGCATTTGTCTCATTTTAAAGCCAACGAAAATCAATCTTGTAAATAAGTTTTTGTATTTTTAATAGAGGCAAAGGGCTTTGGTTGTTACTAATTTAAAGTTTTTTTTTGATGTATATTTTATTTGCACTTTCTAATTTTTTCGAATTTTTCAAGAGCTTTCTTAAACGTCAAATGTCGGAAAAAATTATAGAAATCATATGCCTAAGCAAGTGGCGCCTTAATCAAGTTGCTCAAATGTCAGCGGGCATTAAGGCAGTTCGGAGGGAGCTCCTTACCCCCTCCCTTTCCACCCCCTGTCATGCCATCACTTTTGTTATCCTGGCAATTGACAACTTAACGATGCCTCGGCTGTCGACTGCTCCTTGAATGGCATGCTCAAAACATTATCACGCACAGCGGGACAAGTCGTTGGCTGCCAGGATATTGGACGGGGAATGGTGTAAAAAAAGCATAAAAATGCAAAGGACAAAAGACAAAGGACACTGAATATGTGTGTTTAATAAAAAAAATATGAACTTCAATTACGCAGGATGAACGTGAGTTTGAGTTTAAGTGTGAGTGTGAGTTTGAGTTTGAGTCTGAGGCTGCGGCGCCGCAGCGAGTGCATAAAACGCTGAACAAATAACAGCAGCCAGGATAAGAGGATAAGAGGGCCATGTGTGTTTGCATAACATAATTCTTTCTGGCCAAGTTGTAAACCCAAAACGAGGACGTGTCGTGTCGTTGGAGGCGGAGGCGGAACAGGGAATGAGCAGGGTGCTTTCACTTTTTACTTTCTACTTTTTTACTCTTTAACCCACTAAGCTGCGCTGCTTTTGTGTGCCAAATACTGTGGCCAAACAGGAAAGCCTTTGGTTGGGCGTTTTCGGGTACCCATTAAATAATTTTTGTAAAGGAAAAATAAATATTATAGAAAAATAAAATAATCAAAAATATAAATATAATGAAAAATATTATTTTAATAATTTAAAATAATAACTAAATTCCAAACTATTATATTCATAAGCTAAAGGGTACTGAAAATATTCTGGGAGATTCCTTGAATTAAACTAGAAACTAGAAAGTAAATATAAATAATAAATACTACAAGACAGCGAAATAAACCAGATTAAATTAAATTATACCTGAAACTAGAAAAGAAAATTAAATAATAAATAAATACCCAAAAACAGCAAATTAAACTAGATTATTATTACTAATATACAATTATTGAAAATGTATAAAAAACATTACATTATTATAAATGAAATTGAAAAATATATAAAAAAATAACAAATATTAGACAAAAGCGAATTTGACTAGGTAAAGTAAGAGGTATCGAAACAGTACTAAAAAGGTCCTTTGAACCCCTCGCGTTGGGTTATCTGTGGGTTATGAGGGTGTGATGTGAGCAGGAGCATGGGGACGTGCATGTGAATGGCGGCCATAAATCAGCTGACGACAGCCAAGGGCAGCCAGGATCGCGAGGAGGAGGACGTGTCACCCCAGAGGACTGACACAGGCTCGCCTTTAATTGGCTTGCAGCCACCGAAAGGCCTTGTGCAGCCAGCCTACTGCTCCGCCCTGTTTCTCCACCCACCAAAACCACCGAAACCACAGCCCACCGAAACCCACTTGCTCATCAGCATAATCGTCGGTGTAATCGTCGCGCAAAGCAAAAGCGCTCTGCACTCGTATCTCGTATCTGCCACACCTCGTCTCCAAAATAGAAAAGTGCCACCGGCTCAGAGATCATGGATGTGGATGCCAAAAATGGCACTTAACACTTAGCAAATGTCGCTGCCATTTTGGGGCGGCCATTTTCGTCCGCTTCGTTACGTTGGCTTCCGTTTCCGCTTCCACTTCCGTTTCCGCCTCCCTTTCGTTTGGTCTCGTTTCGTTTCGTTCCGTTTCACCTGTGTTTGCTCTACGCAGCTTTTTCCACTCTTAATTGTTTGTTTAATTATGCAATTGAATTAAAATGCGCAAATATTTGCCTTAATTATGATTCGCATTTAACTAGTTCAAAAAAGAAACCAAGAAGAATTTTTAATATTATGGCGAAATGAAATGAATTTAAAAATAATTTGAAATTGGTAGAAGGCTTTATATATTATACAATGTTATAAAAATATATATTATAGCAGAATAATAGCGAAGTTCTTGAAGGTCTGAAATAGTTTCTATTATTTCTGGAAATTAACTAGCTAGTAAATTAATAGATTTAAATATAATTAAAAATTGCTAGAAGACTGCAAGTATTATAAATGTATTTTCTTAATTATTTTGTTTATCACTTAAATAAATTATTTTCTTATTATTTGTGGAATTTCTGTAAGCTGTATACTGATACTGAGCAGCTTTTTATGTCTGCCACTGGCCGTCAAACTTCTTTATTTGTGCAAAATGCTACCGAGTCGAGCTAATCTGCTGACAGTCGTGTCTGTTGCAAGTTGCAGGTTGCACATTGCACATGGCACCAAGCAGGTGTCTGGTTTCGGGTTTCAGTTGGCAGGCTGCTGATTCCTGGATGCTGGCAGCACATTGCAAGTGGCATTTCGGAGACGGAGGATATTTGCCCGGGGAAAGGAGAAAGGAGGAAGCAGAGCAGGTCCTCCGAAACTGTGAAACTTATCTGGCCAGCGGCACTCGGGCCTCAATTTGCTACTCCGGCTGGCGATGGGCAGTTATCGGAGATGCCAGGCAATCGCCGAATATTCCATTGCAGAGAACACAGAGTAAAGAACACAGAGTACAACAGCAACAGCATGTTACATAAACTGCTTACAGAACAACAAACAAGCTACTGGGCATATAATATGGGCGTTTATCATTTAATTAATTGCCCTTCGTAGCCATTTTCATTAAGTAATTTTCGCCTTTCGCTGTTGTTTGCTTTTCCTCGCTTCTCCCTTTTTCCTTTGCTGTTTTTTTGTTTCCCTTCTTTGTTGCACTTCCCTTGAAGGGAAAACGGGAAAAGCTGTGGGAAAATTCTCGAGAGGCGGAGCAACAGCTGTGGACTGTAGCCAGCTTGTATGTGGACTTTTTGGAGCTGCACTGTAAAAAAAATAAATATTTAAGGCCTTTAGGTTTTATTATAATGTGTATTTTAAATATTTAGCCAATAAATATATTAAATATTTTAATATATATTTAAAATATATTCTAATCTGCAAGTTCCTTTTCGGAAGTTTAAGGAAATAATTTATATATTAAGCATTAACAATCAATTAGGTTTTGAATAATTAGCTTATGAATTTTCTTGGAATATTTGACTAATTATATGATAAGAAAAAGGTGTATACATATATGCTAAATTGTACAATTTTTTTCTTGGTTTTTGCAATGTTTTTGAGAAATGGGTATGGCAATAAGGAAGTGATAGCTTTTTCGCAGCGTGTCCATATATGTTATTTCTTTTTTTCTTCTTATTTTTTTGTAAATGTATACATATGTTGGTCCTGTAGGGTCTGCTTACATATATATATATATATGTGTGTGTGTGTATGTGGAAGTTGCGAGTGTGTGAGTGTGTAGAGGGAGCCGGCTTTCGATCGGCTCCAAATTGCCACTCGTTGTAAAGTGGCAATTAACGCCACATGACGCTGTCAACAAATGGCCCTGGCTAGGCATTACACTCCCACGCCCCTCGAAACACACCCCCTTCCCCGCCCCTCTCTCTCCACACCCATACCATCAAACAAACACACTCACACACACACACTGATATGTGGGGCACTTACAACACTTGTTAAGTGCATTTTTCAATGCCCCCCGGGGGTTTTGGGTTTTCCGCTGCAGCGAGAAAGAGAGCTCAAAGGGTTTTTCTTTTTTGTACTAATTTTTAAATTATTACTTGAGACACGAGACAGCAACACGAATGCATTTCCAGGAAAAAGGGTGCAGCAAAAGCTTAGAAGAGGTATAAAATCCGATAACAAAGCCATTTTCCACCCATCCCACGGCCCACCTGTCATTTCGAAGTCATTCGGGGAAAATCGGGGAATGGAAAACGGAAAATGGGGGCTCTTCGTTATTTCGGACATGAGCCTGTCATAGCTGTCATGTCGCCTAGCAGCTCGTTATTGCTATTATTATGTTACTCGAAAACTCGAAAACAATGGATGGTTTAGTTAACTGTGGAGCAGTCGGTTGGAAAAGCCATAAATGTATGTGAAGATGAAATCCATTTCCAAACTTCTTTTAAAAAAAACAAAATAAAAAAAAATTAAATAAACAGGACATTTTTCTATCCTAATATTTCTTGGACATTTGCTGAGGGTGCTTTTAATCCTCTGAATTCACAAATTTTTTCTCCTTTTGTTTAACATTTGGATTATATTTTCTTACGGGCTTCGGCCTGCTACTAATTGTATCTATATATTTCCGAATATTCTACTGTATTTACAAGACTTTTGTATCATTTTGAATTCTCTTTCTATTTTCAAATAAAAATATTACATTTCGAAACGAACCATAGGGAGTCAAGCAATTTCTCCTGGGATTTCCTTTTTTCAAGGGTTAAATTATTTTATAATATACTTGTAGCCCTCAGTTCGCCGACACTTTAAGCTGCCAACTAAATGTTGTTCTTCCATCTCCCGTAATTATAATTGCAGGCTGCACGGAGGGCGCCTCGAAGCGCTTCTTCACCGACTTCCTGCAGGACCTGCCGACGCCCGGAACCGGAGGACCGACCTTCGACACGACCATCGGCACCAACATCACGGGACTCGTGGGCAAGACGGTGAAGCTGACCTGCCGCGTCAAGAATTTGGGCAATCGCACGGTGAGTACGCACTAAAATCTGGGGATGTGGGGATGCGGATGCGGATGCGGATGCAAGTGGAAGCTGTGCATAATAATTTCAAAGTACTTGACCAAAAAGAAAAAACACGTAAAACTTTCGCCGGGCAAACTTGTCAAAAGGCGTTACGCTTGACAGGGCGGCGAGAGAGCTGCAGCTGCAGCATGCCACGCCCCCTGAAGCCCCCCAACGCCCCTTTCAAGGAGGGAGGGGGCGTGGCCGAAGGCAGCTGTCGCCTGTCGTTTTTGGTTTGGATTTTAGCCTCGCCCTCCGAGCGAAAAGTTGTAAGTGAAAAGCGGGGCTTTCATTATGAAAATGCAGCTGGAAAATGGAAAATGCAGTTGCATTTCGCTGCTGTTGCGCTGCTGCTGTTGCAGCTGTTAAACAATTAGCAAATTAAACTTTCAACTTTGAACTTTCAACTCGGGCAGCCGGCGAGCGAAATCAGAAAACAATGCCAAAACAAAGGCGTTGCAAATGTTTCACTCCGTTCATTTGCAGTTTTCAGTTTTCAGTTCTCAGTTTCAGTTTCATTTGCAGTTGCATTTAGTTCATTTTTAGTTTCGGTCCGCACAACGCTGCGTATGAGTGACGTGAATCGTGAATGCTGAATGGTGAGTAGTGAATCGCGGACGACGACGAATCCCCCGCCTTTTAGCAAGTTTCCTCAAGTGTCGCGAGCGGCCATAAAACTTTGCAAATTTTTACGCTTTGCTGGCTTATTAGGTGAGTGGCGAGGAGTCCTGCGAGTTCGAGTCCCCTCCTCCTACAAGCCGCCTAAAAGCCGAAAAAAAAGTTTGCTTCCCGTTTTAATTTCAGTTTGACAAAGTGAATGAATGACGCGCAGATGGAGATGGAAAAGGGGTTGGAATTCACCGGAAAACTCGGTCTTTCGTCAGTTTGCTCAGTTTCGGACGCGTCCACCTAATTACGAGTCTCACGAAACGCAAACAGGCAAACAAGCGTCAATTAAGTACAGTGCCGTCTCGGTATCAATTATTCGCCAGTTAATTGTTGTTCCTTGACGGCCAGAAAACTATCGGATTACCAACTAGAAGATTTCATATCAAAAGTCACACGGCTACCGCTGTCAGAACTTGTTTCCAATTTTTCTGCACTTCTGGTTTCCAGTTGTGATGGCGCAAAACTTTTCCTTTTTCCGTGTTATTTTCACCCAAAAGCCAACTGAAAGGCTTGGAGATTAGTTGCTGTGTGAGCTTTCTAAATTATTTGATTAAAACTTTATTTTTGGCTTAAATTTTTGGGAATTTTTGAGCGGTTTATTTCGAGAGATCTTTAAGGTTACTCATAGAGTAAAAAGCCTGGCGCACTCATCTTAACATATTTATTAATAGTGCAAATGCCATTTGTTTGTGTTTATTAATATCTATCGAAACGTAGAAGAACATTTTAAAGTCGGACCATTTACTTAGAAGTTATGAGCAAATAATAATAATAATTATGCAAGCAGTCAAGTTACTGAGTGCTCTAGGTGCTCGACTACAGCATTTACTTTATTTGTTTTTTGCTTCAGCCTCTCCCATTAACTAAACTTATTTTATCCGCACCGATTACTTCGGTCTAAGATCCAATTAGCTTTCCCATTACTTGGTTCTGTTTACTCTCGAGAACTGAGAACCAACAACTAGTTACTACCTGACTGGCATAAATCCAGAATTCAGTAGAGACTTATTGTTTTGTGTTCCCAAATATTCATACATATGCGCCGTATTACTTACCAAATTCCCAGCGTGATATATGCATTTGCCACATGGTCCATTTTCGATTCATCGAAGCTGATGAGCTGGCTAAATACTGTGTAATTAATCACAGGCCGAGCAGCTGGCCATTTATTACTCCGGTCGCCCGTTCCTCGGATATCAGTTGATTTCCTCCCAGACGCCTAATTACTCAGAAGATGTTGGTCCATGAATTATATCGCAGACTGAATAAGTTCCATTTTCAGGGAGTCGGAGTCCTCGAACTTGCAGTTTGCACATGTCTTTGTCCACGTCCCTTGATGGCAGCCATTTTCCATGCGATTTAACAATTTTCAAGCGGCTTTTTTATGCAAAACAATAAATGTCCAAATTACTGCTGAAAAACCAAAAAAAAGTATATTTTTGTCAAAAATTTAAATCCATTTTTTCACCCTAAAATTTTAGTTTTTTTTGCCGAAATAGGGGAAATAATAGCGCAAAAATGGAGTTTCATACCTTTTTGAACTCGTAGTTTAATTGTGAATCGATTTGCGTTCAAATCTAGACATTTTAATTTTTTGTAATTTTTTGCAAAAAATTACATCATGACCCCTTATAAAAATTTCGAAAATTAGTGAAAATTTTTATTTTCCCAAAAGTGATGGGAATCGTTAGCTTTTGTCGATAGCTGCTCGAAAAGGTTATTCTTTAAGCTGTGCGCCTTGGAATAAAGAAATTATGGCTGAAAAACGGTTAAACAAGAGCATTTTTGACAAAATTTTAATCCTTGTTATTTTATTATAAAATCTCTAATAAATAGGAAATTTAAATGCCATATTTTCAAAAGTAATTACGAGGACATTATATAAATTTCCGCTGAAAAGTATTTTCCCCACTTGAAACTAAGTCTCTGGCACTGAATATTCTCCACATTTTGAAGCCAATTCGCAGAAGATTCCGAATGCGGGCAATCAGGCGACATTAAAATTTCCCTTTGCCATTCATTAGCAAACGCGATTTGGTGGCAACCGAAGCCGAGTGTTTATTAACAAAGCCTCCACTTAACTTTGCGTGGGTGGTTTTTGATGGGTGGTGGGGTGGCCTGGTGGGTGGCAATGCTGACTGAAGGAACATGTCATTTGCGGTCTTGGAAAGGCGACGACCGCAAGTCAAGGCTCCTTCGACACCGCAGAATGCCAATGGCTGCAGATTGGGGTGGTAATTCTGGGGGTGCGGAGGTGGTGCTTCAAATTCTCATTGCATGTACTTCATTAGTGTGTAATTGTGAGGGTGTGTGTGGAGTGTACACACACACACACAATGTGCATGTGTGGAGTGCGCATCGATTTGCATCAATTGAATTGCCAATGCCCTGAGCAATGACCGCAGCCACAGAAGGAACAACGACAACGACAACGACAACGTGACCATGATGACTGAGGAGTCCAAGTCCAGTAGTCCAAGTACAGTGGTGAAAAACCACAGGCACTCCAAAAACATATATATCGATTTAGTCTTTGGATGCTTTTTCAAGTGACTTTAAGTGATTGTTTTCTCAGGAGAAGTACTTAGCTTACTTAAGCACTTGTGCTTGTTGTATGTTATTTAATGTCCAATCAATAACTAAATAACAAGCACAGCAGGTACTGTAAGTAATGGATAGGAAATAAATTTAGTATAATTTAGACTCTACATATTATCGACATACATACTATCTACATGTTATCTACATATTTTTCTTAATTTATTTAAGTTCAATCACTAGCTAGTTTTTTGAAACTCGCTGTTAAGGCTTTTTGGTGGTTTAACCACTGTAAAGGGGGGGTTTTTTCGGTTGAGGGCGGTTGAGGGTTGTGCGACCCCCGTCGATTTCTGGGCAACTGCAATTGAAATTGTTGCGGTTGATTTTACAAGTAAATTGTCACTGCCAGTTGTAACCGAACCTGCCTGCCCGCCTGCCCCACCGAAGCCCCCGGAATCCGGTCCTTTGGCCCCGAGAAACAATTGAAAATGCAATTTAGCGTGTGAGGTTTCGCTGCGTCCCAACTCCCCTTTCCCTTTGCCTTTTCCGTTCCGTTTCCGCCGTTCCCGTTCCGCCGGGGGTCCTTGCATCCTTCTTTTTTGCACTCCCCATCCAATCTTTGCCCTTTTGTTTTGCGATTGCACACCGCAGTGGGTCCATCACCCCCGTCCACACCCCTCTTTCATCTCAGGTGGACGCCACTGTGATTTCGATGCGAATTCGTTTCGCTTTCATACGTGGGCTTAAAAAAAAGAAAGTATTTATCTGCACGGGAGGTACAGGAAAAAATAGTTTATTTAGTTGCTCATTTGAAAAATTAATATTTAATTTAAATAATATTATTGTTTCTGTTTTTTCATATATTTTTTTTTCATTTTATTTTAATTTTTTTTGTTTTCAAAAAACCTAATGTAATATTTCATCAAATTTCACCAAAGTATTAAACTTAATATCATTTAAACTACCTTTGTTATTTAAAAAAAATACTAAATATATTTGCTTAAATTAAGAGTACATTTTCTTCCGGTGAAAGTTGTATTCGTTTTTTGGCGAAAGTCAAAGCCTTTTGCTCCACGCACAGAAATAAAAATTGCGTTTCCACTTTTTTGGTTCTTCTTTTTTCGCCGCCTCTACGTGTGAGTGCCACGCCCACTCGCTTTTTGCCTGCCTTTGCTGTCTGTTTGTTTGTTTGCTTGCTGAGCGGCACAGGACTAAAAGCAACTTCACGAGCAAAAGAATCCAGAATCGAGAGGAGGAATAAAAAGAACTTTCGTTTCGGCTTTTGCCCGAAAAGAGAGAGGAGAAAAAGTTTAAGAATGTCAACCGAATGAACCCAATTCCCATTCCGTTTCCATTTCCCCCCAAAAAAATCTGAGAACCTCCTCCTCCTCTTTGTGCCAAAAAGGGAATTCGTAGTGCATTCATTAAATTAGTTTTAATACTTCAGTCGGCTAAAAGTCGGGGGACTCATTAAAAAATCACTTTTTCCCAGGGTGGCGCAAGTTTCTTTCTTTTTCGGGGGCGTGGATCCTTGAACATCCTTTAAACACATCGATTGCCACGCCCCCAAGGCCACGCCCATGCGAAGATGTCGGTGGAGCGCCGCCCCCTCAATCGAAAAATCAAAATATATTTCTATATATTTATTTAGCTGAAAGAAAATCACATTCTCGTGTGTTGTCATCGCTTTTTTGAGGATTGAGGGCTTGAGGGGCGGCAGGAGGTAGATGAAGTGGGCGTGGCACCCTGCTGCCAAGACT